TATGAAAAATGAACTAAGTTATGAATTTCAAAATTTTCTTTATTTTTCTTATAGGAATGTCCACTTTCGCTAAAAAAACACGCACCCTGATGAAAAAAAAACCCAAACTTGTTATTAACTCTTATAAATTTAATTAAAAAAAAAGTAACTTTTTATATTCATGATTTGAAATGCTTAATCTATGATGATATGAAAATTAAATGAAAAGTTAATTATTTCTGGTCAAAGTGGCTATTCAAAAAAAAAAAAAAAAAAATTACCATTTAAAAATAAATGAATACAACAAGTGGATGACTTTTTATATATATTTTTATACCAAAATATTTTAAATATTTTTTTTTTTCAAAGTCATGGTAAAAAGTATTTTAATTACGTCATTTCTGTTCTCCTCATGTTAGCTGTTGGTGAAACAATTACTCATCGCCTGTCAATAGTCACCGTTGTTAAGACATGTTTTCTCTTATTTTAAACGACATTTTTCTGCGAAGAAAGTAAGTCATGTCATATATTAAATGATATTTAAATTTTCTAATTTTCCTCAAATAACTTTGGAAAAGGTATAATTGATTTTTACAAGATTTTTAAACGGGAAATCTAACTTTTGTTTACAAATTTCTCAAAAATGGCAAACAATTTTATGATAATTTCACTGTCTCAAAAAGAAAAAAAAACAAGATTTCTAACTAAAATTTCAGACGTGCTAGGAAGGACTAAAACAATGTAAAAAAAATAATCAAAAATATTTTCGTCTTTTCTCTTAATAATAATATAAACATTTAGACGATAATTTTTTTTCACCAAGTTTAAGGCCGTTTTTTTTTCATGCTATGCTCTTTTTATAGCGAAACTGTGTAGTTACCTAGCCAAAACAATCAGTGTGAGTTCAAGATAAATTTTTCTAAGAAAAACTGTCTTGACCAGCATAAAATTTTCATAAAATTTCACATATATCAATATAATCGGTATTTATAAAATATAGTTTTGTATGACATAAAAGCATATGGATTCGATATAAAGATAATACCCTCATCATCCGATCATGACAGATACGTCAGCAAAATGACTGTCAACAAAGACAAAAAGGAAAACGTTTTGCTTGACTGGATCCATAAATTCCAGAGCAGATAATTTTTCTTTTCATAATATGATAATCCCGAGAATGGGATTATTGCTTATAATAATTCCATTTTATTCAGTTTATTTATTTCTTTTCTTTTTTTCTTTTTGGTCAACTTTCAAAATAATGATCAGAATAGTAACGTGACTTTGCGGGATCTCACTCACTTCATAGCAGCAGAAATTATCATTGTGTTCATGGAGATAAAAGCATACTTGACAGAAAATAAAATGCACACAAATGACAGGAAAAGCATCGTAAATTGGATGTTAATTTCATACAATTTATTTATATTTTCTTTTGTGCGTATTTTTTAAGTTTCAATTGTTTTATGGAACATCTGATAAAAGGGAGAATTTGCTCCATAGTATTACATACCATATTACAGAGAAAAGTCAGACACGTGCTGTCTGTAAAAGGTTCGTGGTGAAGAGATTGAATTTAATGTCTTTTGGCGGTATGTCCGTATTTCCGACAGGAACAGTTTTTGCTGCATGCTAGGAGTATTTTTTATTACTTTTAATTTTTATTTAATTTATTTCATACAACGATTTTATGTTATTGTTTTATTTTTAATTTTCATTATTATTATTATTATTATTTTTATTTTCTTTGATTTCTGGCGTTTACACATTTCTTTCCGGGTCCCTTGAGGGACCTAAGGTTAGAAATGGCGTCATGACACTTTCCACTGACAAAAAAAAAAAAAAAAAAAATTACATAGATAAAGCCCTTCGTAAGGTGCGGGCTGTACTTGTCAGAACAATTTTTTGTATCTCCTTGAGGCATGGACTTCCAGGAATCCCTTCAATTAGTCTACTGCAATCTTTTCCAACCAGTCCTAGGGATCCAACTACAACAGGGATTGTTAATGTTCCCATATGCCACATTTTCGAGATTTCTATTTCACGGTCCTTGTATTTTGACAACTTTTTGAATATCTTCTAAGATACATTGCAGTCAGCAGGGACTGCCATATCAATAAGGAGGCACCGTTTTTGTTTGTGGTCTTTAATAACAATATCTGGGCGGTTGGCTTTGATTGTTCTGTCAGTGTGTATTGTGTAGTCCCATAGAATTGTAACAGGTCCTATCTCCGTAACCGGGTCTGGGTGGTGTTCATACCAGTTTCTTTCAGTTTCCTTCCTGTAGAAGTTGCAGATTTTCCAGTGCAGATATTGGCCCACTCTGTCATGTCGGGTTTTATATTCAGTGGGTGCCAACACCGTACAACCTGATACAAGATGATCAATCGTTTCTGGATATTTATCACAGAATCTGCATTTTGGGCTGACACAATATTTTAGTATATGTGCTTGATAATTCCTAGTTAGCAAGCATTGGTCCTGTGCAGATTATTATAAAACCTTCATTTTTATTATTTAAAATATTTCTACGTAGTGACTGATGGGTATAACATTGTCAAAAAAGAATTTTGAAGAGCCGAGTTCAAATTCCAGACAGGTTCATTACATTCACTTCTATACAAATACCTTTAGGAAAAGTATGAATCCATTTCTTCTCGCCCTCTACGAATTGAATAACAAGACAAACTGACACCTATAGCCTTGGTTGTGAACCAGTCTACCACATAAAAAACAGAAGACTATTGTGAGAAATCTGCCAACTCAGTCATAAATCGAAAGAGACACGATCACAAAGGTGTATTGACTAATGTGAGGTTCCCCTAGTCGTCATTGAGTTCTAATCAGAGTTATCTCCCTTGTATTGTTTCATTTTTCTCCCCTTTCTGAAAAAGGAACAATACATTGATCAACATTTTCGCTTTGTCAAGCTGGTCCCAAAAGAGTTCCTTTTTTCATCCAAAACAACCGCCAGAATATGTCAGGAACTATACAGAAAGTATGGCCTCAAGTGTACAGATAAGTGGGGGGGGATACAACTGTCTTGACTGCTAAGTGGTTGGGAAGAACCTGATCTTACACTTGGGCGCAAGGTCAGTCCCGAATGGACCCTGATGTAATAGCACCTTGGGAAAATGACGTTGTGATGGTGTAGCGGGCAAATAATGGTACCAAGACCTGACCGGGCAAATTGGAGAAACGTACCAAGCTGCATTTAGTAAATTATATTTAATTATTCTTAAATTTTTATTATTATTATGATTTGATTATATTAAAAAAAGATACTTCTAAAAATGTATTTTTTTAATTATTTTTAAGGAGACACGGTGGAGTAATGGTTAGCGGCTCGGATTGAGGAATCAGAGAGCCGAGTTCGATTTCCAGTCTAATCCATTACATTCGCTAATACCACTGGGAAAGATATGAATCTTCTTCTCCAAGCAGGACCGATTGGGCAACTGAGTTACTGCAGAAAGAAATGGCAAAACAATCTGCCTCGTCAGTCATGTATCGAATGATACATGATCGCCTAAGCGTGTATCACATAACTGACTGACCTTTGGGAAAGGTTTGAATCCTCTTCTTCTTCTCACCCCCCCCCGGCACCACAGCCAAGGGTAAATAGCAGGACCGATCTACTGCAGAACGAAATGGCAAACTACTGCGGAGAATAAAATCTGCTTCGTCAGTCATGTATCGAAAGATACATGATCGCCTAAGAGTGTATCAAGCATAACTGACTGAGAGGAGCTATAATTATCTATTTCCCAGAACATAAAAGAATAGAACCCGCGGGCGCTTTATTGGTTTTGTTGTCTTTAAAAAGTTTTGAGTCAATGTTTAATCGAAATTAAAATGATTTGTTTTTACGGCTTGTCAATCTTTTGCAGGTTATTTAAAGCCAGAATTTTTTTTTTTAGATTTTTTTTCTTTTTGAGACGAGTGGTGTTGGAGAGACGATGTGGATTCATGCCTTACGCAAAGGATATTTGCACGTCAATGAATATAACGAACCTGACTGGAATTCGAACTCGGCACTTCGATTTCCAGTTGCCAGCCTTTATCCATTGCACAACCTGCAACATTCAAGCTTACAACACCTGGTATTCCCAAACAGTTACCCATCTAGGTAGTGACTAGACTCGACGTTGCTTAACTTCGGTAATCGTACGAGAAATGAATATTAAAAAAGGATATGGTCATAAACCAAGAGAACCCGCATATTCAATCTTACAACAAATGGTGTTCCCAAGTGGTCACCCATCTAGAAATTACTGACCAGGCTCGACGTTCTTCAACTTCAGCAATTCAAAGAAAAAAATGTTTAAACTTAATATGAACCGTAAACCATTTCTATCCGCAAATTCAAGTTTATTTCAGTTCCCAAGCGGTATTTCATTAATACTGACCAGTCGAATTAGACACCATTTCGTACAAAAAATAATAAATGTTTAAAGGTAATATGGCCAAAAAACCATTTCTACCCGCACATTTAAATCTTTTTTAAGCACCAAGAGAAGCGGTCAAATCTAGAATTCCCAGGCTCGAAGGATTGCTTTTGTACGAAATTTTAAACTTCCATATGGAATTCTGTAAACCATTTCAAAATCTGCGTAAGCACCTGGTATTCAGAAAAAAGATATCGAAATTGACCAGGCTCGACGTTGCTTAACTTCAGCAATCGTACGAGAACCGGTGTTTAAACTTAATATGGCCGTAAACCATTTCTATCCGCACATTCAATCTTACAGCATCTGGAGTTACCAAGCGGTCACCCATCTAGATACTGACCAGGCTCGACATTGCTTAAAGAAGTATATCGTACGAGAACCGGTGTTTAAACTTAAAATATAAAATAAACCATTTCTACCCGCACATTCAATCTTACAGCATCTGGGTTCCCAAGCGGTCACCCATCTAGATACTGATAGGCTCGACATTTGGAACTTCAGCTATCGTACGAGAACCGGTGTTTAAACTTAATATGGCCGTAAACCATTTCTATCCGCATATTCAAGTTTACAGCACCTGGAGTTCCCAAGCGGTCACCCATCTAGATACTGACCAAACTCGACATTGCTTAACTTCAGCGATCGTACGAGAACCGGTGTTTAAACTTAATATGGCCGTAAACCATTTCAACCCGTAAGCGTACTGCACCTGGTATTCCCAAGCGGTCACCCATCGAGGTACTGACCAGGCTCGACGTTGCTTAACTTCAGTGATCGTACGAGAACCGGTGTTTAAACTTAATATGGCCGTAAACCATTTCTATCCTCACATTCAATCTTACAGCACCTGGAGTTCCCAAGTGGTCACCCATCTAGATACTGACCAGGCTCGACATTGCTTAACTTCAGCGATCGTACTAGAACCGGTGTTTAAACTTAATATGGCCGTGAACCATTTCTATCCGCACATTAAATCTATCCGCACATTAAAGTTTACAGCATCTGGAGTTCCCAAGCGGTCACCCATCTAGATACTGACCAGGCTCGACATTGCTTTGAGTACTGGTGTTTTTAACTTAATAAAAATTTCGTAAACCATTTTTAACCCGTAAAATTTACTGCACCTGGTATTCACGAGCGGTCACCCATTGAGGTACTGACCAGGCTCGACGTTGCTTAACTTCAGCGATCGTACGAGAATCGGTGTTTAAATGTAATACGGCTGTAAACACTATGAAAAGTCGCGGTATTGTTTTTGTGGTTAAAACTTTGCTTAATGTTAGCTTTTCCTCCACTCGAAATACTAAGTAAATGTTTATCGCTCTGTTTGAAGTAGACTATATACAAAGTTAATGTTTAAACACGGTTTCATTCTGAAGAACGACAAATTTCGACAGTATTCACGTGTCTAACACTAGTGACTGATCAACACAAACACTTCGTTTGTTGTCGGCCGTGTGATATTTTCCCCGGTCCGCCGTAAGCGTATAGGATCCAAATCCAGGCCTTTCTCACTCCTGTTTGAAAAAAAACCCACCCTGATTAACCATCTCTTCAGGGTTGTAGTATTACTCAACACGCTTGGCCAATTGCGGATCTGTGAGGCTATTTAACCCATAGTCGGAAGTACTGAATTCAGATTTGTCATTATCCTAGACCGGTTGCCATCAAAGGCTATAGGACCCAGTCTGTCCAACTAATAGGTATGGATGGCGATTTTCTTAGATGTGGCACAAGGCCGAATGTATAGAGCACCCAGTAAGAATCGAACCCACTATATTCATTTTTTATTGATCTAGCAAGACAAGATTGCTAACCATTACACGTCAAAGTGCCCAGTGTTTATAGCGATTTTCTAGACGTAGCTTAGATGTGGCACAAGGCCGAAAGTATGGGCCACCCAGTGAGGATCAAACTCACGATACAGTTATAATTGTTCTAGCGATGTAAGTTTGTTAACCATAGCTATGGATGGATTCATATTTTCCCAAGAATATTTGTCCATAAGTGACCATAACGAACTCGACTGGAATTCGAACTCTGCTCTCCGATTCCTCAATCCGAGCCACAGTCCATTAAACCACCCTGACCTTCACGTGATATATGCCACAATAAATAATGGATTTTCTTAGAGAGTAAAGTCAACAGAGGAGGAATCCCACCACTCACAGAAGCGATAGTTTCAACCTGGAATTGGAACCATATATTGGCAGTTTGAAACTGTTGGAATATTGGTCTTGGTCGAAGAAACGTGGTAGAACCAAAGTCTTAGATAATTTTTGGAATTGGGAATGACATTTTGAACTACGGTTAGAAATACACATTGGTAGAAATGGTTATGGTTATTTTATAAGCATAGCTTAGATATGGCACAAGGCCAAATGTATTGGGCACCCAGTGAAGATCGAACTCACTATTCAGTTGTAATTGATTTCAAGAGACAGGCTTGCTAACCATTACGCCACATCAAAGTACCCAGAATGATTTTCTTAGCATAGCTTAGATATGGCACAAGGCCAAAAGTATTGGGCACCCAGTGAAGATCGAACTCACTATTCAGTCATTATTGATCAAGCAAGACAAGCTTGTTGACCATTACACCACATCAAAGTACCCAGAATGATTTTCTAATCGTAGCTTAGATGTGGCACAAGGCCGAAAGTATTGGGCACCCAGTGATGATCGAACTCACTATTCAGTCGTAATTGATCAAGCAAGACAAGCTTGTTGACCATTACACCACATCAAAGTACCCAGAATGATTTTCTAATCGTAGCTTAGATGTGGCACAAGGCCGAAAGTATGGGACACCCAGTGAGGACCGAACTCACTATTCAGTCGTAATTGATCAAGCGAGACAAGCTTGTTGACCATTACACCACGTCGAAGAGTCTCAAATGATTTTCTAATCGTAGCTTAGATGTGGCACAAGGCCGAAAGTATAGGGCACCTAGTGAGGATCGAACTCACTATTCAGTCGTAAATGTTGTTTGTGGCACAAGGCCGAAAGTATGGGGCACTACTCAGTCGTAATAGTTCTAGCGAGACAAGCTTGTTGACCATTACACCACGTCGAAGTTCCCAGAATAATTTTATAAGCATAGCTTAGATGTGGAACAAGGCCGAAAGAAAGGGGCACCCAGTGAGGATCGAATTCACTATTCAGTCGTAATGATCTAGCGAGACAAGCTTGTTAACCATTACATCACGTCCAAGTGCCTAGAATGATTTTCTAATTGTAGCTTAGATGTGGCACAAGGCCGAAAGTATGGGTCACCTAGTGAGGATCAAACTCACTTTTAAGTCGTAACTAGTCTAGCAGGACAAGCTTGCTAGCCATTATACCACGCCGATGTGCCCTGGTAGAAATGGTTATGAACTATTGTTTCAGTGGTTTTATGACTATGGAAAGCCGTTGTCGGAATGTTTAAACTAAATCTTTTTAGAATTTTTTATTAAAATTTCTTTCTACAGTTGACTTTGAGGTTGAAACTTTGCGTAATGTATGGGTTTCCCTACTTTTGAAACGCTGCGTACATTTTATCGTTGTGTTTGATGTCGGAAAATATTCCTTTTTATTGAGGAAACAGGCAGAGTTAAGCGGCACTGACAAAATTCTCAATAACAACAAGAAGAGAAAGAAGGAAGAAGACGAAGAGATTAAAATAATACAAGGCAAGACAATATAATGCAAGGCAAAGCAAAGCAACTATAAGACAACAACAAAGTAAAAAGTTCACAAACCAGAAATAGCGTTCACACGCAAAAGGGATACAGTCAAGTGGTTATAATCTTCTAACAATTTTTAAACATTTCACCCCGAGAAAGGCGGGTGTGTGACTAGCACGCAAGGGGTTACAGACGGTAAAGAACAAGAGTAAAGAATTGTGTTTGATGAAAGGATAAAAAGAAGGACGGGGAACAAGGTCTAGGCATCAGATGTCGATTGACATTACACTTGAATATTTGAAGAGTTTTGTCATCGGAGAAGCAATTAAGGGGAAGGGAGTTCCACAGACGGGAAGTGCGAGAGAAGAAGCTGTTTGAGTAGAAGAGACGATAACATTTAACATGATGTTTTGACAGTGTGGGACTCAGATGCCAACCTAGTAGCATGTTTAAATTCATTCAGTCTGGAAACTAGCGAAAGAAGATCGTCAGAACAGTTGCCGTGAAAATACTTGTAGAAGAGACAGAGGGAAGCCACGGTACGTCTGTGAGAAAGCGACTGTAGATGAGATGCCAGATCAGGAGCTATCATATTGCATATCCGTCTCTGGACCATATATGACAGCAATATTCCATGCAAGGACGGGTGGTTGATTTATAGATTTGGAGAATGGACTCAGACGAGAAAAACTTTCTGACACGACACAGAGAACCAGTTTTCCTTGCGGTAGATGAAGCTATTGATTTAATGTATTTGTTCCACCTTAAGTCAGCGGACAGCGTGAGACCAAGCAGGCGCAGCGAGGCGCTCTCGTGGAGTTGGGAATCAGCCATTCTCATGGGAGGTAGAGATAATTCTCCGCGATGGATAAATGAAAGCAGTTTCGTTTTAAAGTTTACAAGCCATTTCTTGCCCCAGTAAACCACAGATTAGAAGTCCTTTTCGAGACCAGCGGCCAGGTTTTGTTTTGTTAACGATACCAGATTTACTATTGATGCAGGAGTAAATAGTAGTGTCGTCTGCGTAGATGCCTACTTTGGAACTGATGACATCGAGAAGGTCGTTAATGAAGATCAGAAACAGTGTAGGACCCAGGATAGATCCTTGAGGAACACCAGCGTTCGTGATAAAGGAGCTGGAGGAGAACCCATTTAGGACGACCTTCATTTCACGGTTTGACAGGAATTATTCTATTAAGTCAAATAAACGTCCTGTAATGCCGTATCCCTGAAGCTTACAAAGAAGGCCGGTATGTCAAGCGCTTTAGAGATATTCAGAGCCACGGCTCGAGTTTCTCCGTTATTGTGAAGTGCTTGGTATACAAATTTAGTTATGGTCGTGAGCACGTCAGCGGTAGATCGGGCAAAGCGGAAACCATATTGTTTGTCGGAGAGTAGATCATAGGATGCAAGGTGCTTAACCAATTCGTCGTTGATTAAAGCTTCAAAGACTTTGCCGAAGAGTGGCAGGAGACTGATAGGATGGTAGGTAGATGGATCAGAAGGGTCTTGAGCACATCAGCAGGAAAAGCGGAAACCATATTGCCTGTCAGACAGCAGATCATGGGATGTAAGGTGCTTAACCAATTCGGCGTTGATTAAACACTCAAAAGAATAAAAATGTATGAATTCTCCATGTGTATTGGCTAGGAAAAGAATCTCAGTATGCATCTGTAGAAATTGTCGATAAATTTGCAGGTCGGGGAGGGGATTTTTAGCAGTCATTTCCCGGAATTGAAACCAATAATTTAAATATTTGTAGTTGTTTTTAAAATATAACGAACCAAGTGGAATTTGAACTCAGCTTTCTGACTTCCAATTCCAAACCATTATCCACCCGCACATCCAAGCTTACAGTTCCTGATATTCCCAAGCGGTCACTCATCCTGATAGTGACCAGTCTTGTTGTTGCTTATTTCAAAGTGATACGGTCGTAAGCCAATTACAGTAAGAAGAAGGTCAAGTTTAAATAATAGAAGGCAAAATAAAGTAACTATAAGACAAAGTAAAA